TTAGGAATGGACACGTGGTTCGTTGCGACAATGGCTTGTACCTCACCTCACATCAACTACGAGAAGGTTTGGTGGACTCAGATGCTGTTGCAGGGTTGCCCGACCTAGAGGCAGTTGTAACGCTCCCAGCGAGACGAACTGTGGGCAAACAATCCCTTAGAGGAGAAGAGGAGCAACGTGAGGAGGAGGAAGTAGTGATCCCCGTGGACCCTGGACATCCGGCAGAGGAGTATGCGAGAGCACTCATGGGGGAAGGGGTCCTCGAGAAGGAGCAGATCGAAACCTTGGCATCCATGTTGCCTTTGACCACGAAGGCACCGAGGCGATTTGGAGAACAGGGTGATGACGGAGGATGTTGGGGCGCTGGAACATATGTGCATGGAGGAGTCATCGGGGTGAGTAACACCACAAGGGCCTTTCCATGTACGACGGCTGTCTTGGCGAAGTACCTGCGACAACTGTTTCCAGAGGTCAGCTTCTCGGCCCTGTTCGTCAGCCAGAACATCAAGGCCCAGGCGCACAAGGATGTTCATAACGTCGGGATGAACCTCATTGCACCCCTCTCTGTGTTTGACGGGGGTGGTCTCCTCATGGAACCGAAGGAAGGTGAGTCCTACGTGTTGGATGTTGCTTCAGGGCCGGTTCAGTTTGATCCACATGTCAAGCATACGACGATGCCTTGGACGGGTTCTACAAGGATGGTGTTGGTGGGGTACAATACGAGAGGAGCCAGTAAGCTTGAGCAGAAAGACAAGGACTACCTCCTCAAGTTGGGCTTTGTGATCGACCACCGACCTCTTCCTGATCCCATCTCTGGGCCACCTGTTGGGAGGCCGAGAATCGCCAAGGCACGACCGTCTACATCCCCAAAGGAGGATCGCCCCGGTTGCCCTATTGAACTTCGTCCTCTTCATGGAACCAATGAAGACCTGGATCTGGTGCTCAAGGACTTGGATGAGCGAGCTCTGCGACTTCGAGATCTTCTTGAGGAGGAGGAAATCCTGGCCGAGGAGTACCAACGGATGGGCCAAATTAGCCGAGATGCCCTGAACGATGCCAGGGAGGAGGTCGTGAAGTTCCTGGAAGAAACACGAGAGCAGATGGTGGAAATCGACAGGGCGAAGATGCTGGGATGCCTACGAGTGGCCTCGATGGCGACCGCCGGCACAGAATCCGACGATGTGGACTACGAAAACCTCCTGCAAGAATTGGAAGGGGACTTGGATGTGGTTCATACTGTGCCGCTCATGCAGGTGAAAGCAGTCCTGCAGAAATGGGTGGGAGCCATCAAGGAAGAGGTAACAGCCCTATTCTCATCAGGAACGGTGTTCGGCATATCGCTGGACGAGGCTCGCACCATGGAGGCGTCCGGCGACCTGAAGGTGGCACCAGCGAAATGCGTCTTTTCGCTCAAACCTCCAAAGTCTCGAGGAGGAAAGTTCCGAAGGAAATGCAGGGTTGTGATATGTGGAAACCACATCGACCCGTCCGACATGAGCTTGTATGCTGGAGGCACGAGCACGGAAGGACTACGGGTGGCTTTGGTCTTCTCAGCACGAAACCACTGGCTTGGTGCGATCTCCGACATCACCACCGCTTTTCTCCTTGCAACGTGGCCTGGCGACATGCCCAAGTATGCGATGAGACCTCCAAAGGTGGTGAGAGACACAGGGATCGGGGCCTCCGAGATGTGGGTGATATCTCGCCCATTGTACGGACTGCGAGAAAGTCCGGCTATCTGGAGCAACTACAGGAATGCTCGCTTGAAGGGGGCAAGGATCAAGTTTGGCGATCGCATCCTTTACCTCAACCCGGCCCTTGGAGAGTCTGAGCTATGGTTGGTCAGGGATCAGCAAACTGGACGACTGGAGGGGCTGGTAGTCACCTACGTTGATGACCTGTTCTACTTCGGCCCGACACTGCTGATACGAGCACTTCACGACTTCATACGAGAAGAATGGCCGACCTCGGAGCTAGAATGGGTTAACGACAAGGTCGCGGTGAGGTACCTTGGAGTGGAGGTCCTGATGCATGGCAGCAGCTACAGCATCAGCCAGCATGCATACATAACCGAACTGTTGCGCGCCCACGACATGCACGATGCATTGCACACTGAGCTGCCAATCCCACGAGAATGGCTGGAGAAGGTGGAGCTTGATGAAGATGGGACCGAGGAGTTCTCGGAAGAGGAGCTTCGCTTGGCTCAACGACATGTTGGAGAAGCCTCTTGGGTGGCCACGAAGACCAGACCTGACATTCTGTTCGTGGTGAATCACATGGCGACGAATGTGTGCAAAAGGCCTTTGCATGTGGCGAGGTTGGGACGGCGACTACTTTCCTACTTGGCTGGAACTGCGGAACTTAGGCTGAAGTTGACACCTCAAGACGACAAGCTGGGTGAACTGGTGTGTTTTACAGATGCAAGCTATGCCCCGTATGGTGCCCGGAGCTTTGGAGCAGCCGTCATCACCCAAGATGGGGCCCCGATTGCTTGGAAGGCTGGCCGACAGTCGTTCATCACTTTGAGCGTGATGGAAGCCGAGCTATATGCGGCTGTGCATGGATGCAATCTGTTGGAATCGGTGGCCTCGATTGTGGAGGAGTTGGCACCCGGCGAGTATGAAAGAATACTGGCCGTTGACAACACAAGTGCTGTAGCCATGTGCAATGGTGGCCAAGGGTCCCAAAGGACACGACACCTGAAGATTCGTGCAAATTACATCAGGGAATCCGTCGCCCGGGGCACCCTGACGGTGAGACATGTCGCTGGTGCACAGCAACTTGCGGATTTGGCGACCAAGATCATGACAAAGCTGAGGCTCCGCCAACTCTTGGAGTTGTGGGGCTTCATTGGCTTCAAGATCGCAGAGGGCCTGGCGACGATGCAGCTGAAGGTTTTGAGCATTATCCTGGCATTGGCTGGAATGATGACTCCGACGACTGGGGCTAAGAATGTTGACTTCGAGAAGGACGACATCCCCAGTGTACAATCCTTTGAGCTGATCGTGATCACGTTGCTGGCGTGTATATCTGCGATCGCAATCTGGGAAGCGGCGAAGGGGGTTCTCCGCTGGTGCAAGAACTACAACAAGAAGCTGAAGAAGGAGAGAAGGCTGGAGAGAATTAGGGATGTAGCATCACGAGCTGCGTCCCGGGAGGTGGCTGAGGCTGCTGCTCAATTCTCAGGCCTGACCCAGGAGACACCAGCAGCACCGGAGCCCTCGACGACACCGAGGTCTTCTACGAGACGTAGGAGACCGTCGCCACAACCGAGCCCAGATGCCGCATCGGTTACCTCGGATGCACCTACGGAAGTCCGAGACTTCGCTGGGGATCGACAACGAGCAGCAAGGGACATGCTGATGCTGCTGACTGTGGAGGCTCTTCGTCAGGGCCTAAGGGTCGAGGGTTTCCAGACATCGGGAGTCAAGGCGGACCAGGCGACACGACTGGCCACTTACTTTGGAAGTGAAGAACCGGCTCCTGGGTCTTTCCTCCCCTCCACAAGGCAGATTCGCTTTGTCCTCTACATATGGCGCCATCGCAATCTCAGTGGTCGTTGTCGCTTGGTTTGGAGCGATGTGAACACGCGACCCAACATTTCGAACTGGATTTCAGTTTGGAAGCAAGCTTGAGCGGAGCTCAGCCCGGAGATTTGAAGCTTCGGATAGAATTCAAGCTGTGGACTTATCCCGTAGGGATCGTCCAAGGAGGAGTGATGGTGGACAGGAACCGTCGCTCGTCTCAGCGGCCCGAGCCAGAGGCTCGAACATGCAAGTCATTGCAGACATTGCAGCCAGCAAGATGCAGAGCAGGCAAACATCACATGTGCAATGACACAACAGATTCGATGTGCTGTGCTTGTGGAAAACCAATTCGCATTGAGCCCTCCATGCCATGGCCCTGCCCAGTGATCTTTCAACGATGATGCCACGACATAATCTGACACCTGCGGGTGATCAGATTCCTAGGGAACACTGCCAGAAAAAGGTTCGTTTTGTGGTTTTTAAGGGTAGGTTTCAGCCAGGTCAGGTAAGGTCTTTAGAGGTCCCAGCGCCCTTCAAATCACGTCACGTCCTAGGTCTTTCTTGGAACACCCTTGATTCTGGGGGTTGTACCTTGGACCCTTAAGGTTGTACCCTTGGGTTTTGGGGAAACTTTAAAAGGATCCTTTAAGGTAGTATAAGGGCCATAGTAGATTGAGGGGAACCTTTCGTGGGTACAACATAGGGAGTACGAGTCTTGATCCCTTGATTGTTCCCCTGGTATGCTTGTAGTCGCCTCAATCCAGAAAACAAGCAGGGTGCCCTTGTCGTTCTTGTACAGGGTGCTGGGAAGGAACGTAGACCCGAAACCTTAAACCCTAAACCCTAAACCCTAGACCCTAGACCCTAGACCCTAGACCCTAAACCCTAGACCCTAGACCCTAAACCCTAAACCCTAAACCCTAAACCCTAAACCCTAAACCCTAAACCCTAAACCCTAAACCCTAAACCCTAAACCCTAAACCCTAAACCCTAAACCCTAAACCCTGCCCGCCGCCCTGGCCAGTTCCGGAGTCCAAGGTCACATGCCATCCCCTGCCGCCTGCAAGAAGTAGAGCCTCAATCCCGGTGGTCTAAGAACCATTCCGACGCTTATTGCAGCACCCTGAACCCTAAACCCTAAACTTTAAATCCTAAACCCTATAATATATATATATATATATGTATATATGTATATATGTATATATGTATATATGTATATATGTATATATGTATATATGTATATATAAACCTTCAACCTTACAACCCCTGAACCCCCCAAACCTCTAAGCCCCTGAGCCTCGAATTCCCTGCGATGCCAAACCGGGCCTTACACCCAGCGCAAGCGCCCGGAGCTGATCAAGCCACGGACCCCGCACCCCATTGTTTGGGGTTTAGGGTTTAGGGTTTAGGGTTGAGGGTTGAGGGTTTAGGGTTTAGGGTTTAGGGTTTAGGGCTACTGGAGTTGAAGACGCCATGGCGATCGAGCGTGCCTTGTCGACCGCGCTCAACAGTGTCACAAGCTCCGAGAGCGCCAGTACCAAGAGCCTTGGGCCCAAACCTTCAAAGCCCGAAATTAAGCGGTTTAGGGTTTAGAGTTTAGGGTTTAGGGTTTAGGGCTACAAAAAGCTCAATAAGGCCCTACAGGGTGTATGCGTTTTAGGGTTTAGGGCTACAAAAGCCCTGCAAAACCCCACATGTCGGGCTGGTTGGGGTTGTAGGGTTCTAGGGTTCATGAAGGTTTAGGGTTTTAGGGTTTAGCGTTTTAGGGTTTAGGTTTTAGGGTTTAGGTTAAAGGTTTGGGGGTTTGGGTATCTTAGGGGTTTTAGGGGGTCCAGGATTTACACAGACCCACCTAGGGCAAGCCACATGATGGACTTTGCACAAGCGGCATGTATCCTGTTTCTTGGCTATATTTCCCTTTGGTAGCACCGGAGCCAGAATGTAGATATCAGTGCCATCCACTTCTTGGCCCTGGTAAGAACATAGACCGCCCCAATACCCGAGTTTAGGGTTTAGGGTTTAGGGTTTAGGGTTTAGGGTTTAGGGTTTAGGGTTTAGGGTTTAGGGACATTGTGAGGAGTTGTGTCCGCGCACTGTGAACACCTTCGCGAGTGCTTGGGGTTCACGGTTCGGGGCTTAGACAAGAAAGTTTAGCGAGGGCACTTTGGGGCTCAGAAGGACTGGGCTTTTATTCACTTCAGGGCGGGTTGTTTCTGCATACTTGCTGCCTCCTCCGCTTTGAATATTTGATTGTTTCGAGATCAGAAAGGTTTGCATTGCGCAAAGATGGTCTCCTCCGGCCTTTCTCAGCCCAAATTCCTCAGCTTTAGCACGAAAGCCTACCCAAACGATTAGAAATCAAAGTACAAGAAAGTCCCTAAGGGTCCATGTACCCAAATAGGGAATACTTGGGCCTTAAACTACTTCCTATACCAAGTATAGAATAAGAATAAGAATAAGAATAAGAATAAGAGAAATAATAGTAATAATGATGAACCCTTAGGGAGCTATTTTCAACATCAATCAGACGTGGAGTGCGAGCCACGCCATCTTCGTCCCTTACTCACCACCAGCCCAGTCTAACCCCATCACCCCCAGGGGGCCTAACTGGCGTCATGCTACAAATGGCAATCCCCAAAAACCCTAAGCCCTAAACCCTAAACCCTAAACCCTAGACCTACTGAAGAACCTGCACACTAAGTTCTCCGATCCACCAGGCAACTCCTCTAAATCCCAGATGCCTCCCTAATCAACAGTCTGCTGGATGCTTCTTTGAAGGGCCCCTAAACCCGAAGACGCAGAAAAAAAACCTACGATTGCTCAACTGTAGGTTTTTTTTTGAGCTTTCGGCTTAGTGGTTCAAAGGCCCCTGAAACCCTAGACCCTTCGGAGAGGAAGATCCAGAACCCTACAAGACGCAAGCAAAGCGCAGGAACAAGATCGGTGCCTGCGCGCTGTGCTGCAATGTCATCTTGAGCATCACCGGGACAGCTCCTCGGCCGAAACCCTAAACCCTAAACCCTAAACCCTAAACCCAAAGCCCTGTTGCCCTAAAGCCCCAACCCTCATCCTACAAGCGTAAGATAAAAACCTATGCCCTGAGCTCCCTAAACCTAAGCTCCTTGAACCTTAAAGCTCCCCTAAGCCCGCAACACTCAGCCCTAAACTCTGAACTCCCTAACCCTAAACCCTAAACCCTAAACCCTAAACCCTAAACCCTACAAAGGCCTCTGAGGCCCTTCACCTCCTGGGCTTGGTTAGGGCTGGGCATGTACTACTGAGTCCAGCCGACCGATGATACACCCTAAACCCTGAGCCCTAAACCCTAAACCCTAAACCCTAAACCCTAAACCCTAAACCCTGAACCCTGAACCCTGAACCCTGAACCCTAAACCCGAAACAAAACCCTGAACCCCGAAGTGCCAAGCCACCTCCTAAAGTGCGTTTTTTTGCTCAGGCCGTGCTGGGAGTGGCTCGGCAAAGACGGTTTGGGGTTTAGGGGTTTAGGGTTTAGGGATTCAGGGATTTAGGGATGTAGGGATTTAGGGTTTGGGGTTTTGATTTTGGGTTTTTTTTTTTGCGCAGTGGTCAGCAGGAGCAGAAGGTGGTAGGACTAGCTCGACACGCCCTAAACCCTAAACCCTAAACCCTAAACCCTAAACCCTCTACTGGCGCGCCTTCACATTGAAGGCCTCGGGCAGCCCAGCCCTAAACCATTTTGCTAGGGTTTAGGGTTTAGGGTTTAGGGCTTAGGGTTTAGGGTTTAGGGTTTAGGGTTTATAGGGTCTGATGTGCGCTTTGACGGATGCTGGTGAACCCTACACCCCCCCCCCAAAAAAAAAAAAAAAAGAAACAAGGAAAATAAGAGAAAGATAATAATAAATGAAAATGAAAAACAAGATAAGGAAAATCACAGAAAATATGGTCGCAACACTAAGCCCTAAAGTTGGGAAAACATATTTTCTCATCAATATAGTATGGAGCAAAGGTTCTCCGCATTTAGCAAAAAACGTCACACACACACACACACACACCCCGCCCCCCAATTCTTCGGCACTTCGTCTAAACTCCAGGGTGTTTGGGGCTGAGCCCTGAAATGAAGCCCCTGCCCTGGGGTTTGGGGTTTAGGGTTTAGGGTTTGGGGTTTTGGGGTTTAGGGTTTAGGGGTTCCGGTGTCGGCTTGAGGGTTTAGGGCTTAGGGTTTAGTGGTTGGGACGCTCCCCCTTTTTTTCTAGCAGTCCTTAGTAGGCATTCGAGTACCCCCGATGATAATCCCCATTCAGGACTGTTAGTATAAGGGGGAACATCCCCAAGTTGAGGAATTTATGAGGTTTCGGGTTTCACCCTAAACCCTAAACCCTAAACCCTAAACCCTAAACCCTATAGGGTTCATCTAAAGCGCTTTGAGGTGTCTGCGCAGATGAAGACCTTCGGGCGTCTGGGCCTGCCTGCTATAGCCCTTCTTTCGTCTTACTGGTTCTTAGCAGAGTTTAGGGTTTAGGGTTTAGGGTTTAGGGTTTAGGGTTCAGGGTTCAGGGTTCAGGGTTTAGGGTTTAGGGTTTGGAGAAAGTTCATGCCTCCCTAGAGAACGCCTTGAAACGATTCTAGAGGCTACCTTTTTCTCGGATGCACCACTGCCACCCGGGTTTCCCCGTGGGCTCCGACGCCCACTGTGAAGCACCTGGGCTCCGAAACCCAATGGTTGAGGGTTTAGGGTTTGGGGTTTAGGGTTTAGGGTTTGGGGTTTGGGGTTTAGGGTTTAGGGTTTAGGGCGTGGGGTTTAGGGCTGTCGGGTGCCAGTAGCTTCTGGGGGGCTATTGTCCCCCCTTCCCCCTCCCCGGGGTAAAGCGCTCCCGGTAAGGTTTCGGACAAGCCCCATCGCGCCATTTACCAGGGCAAGGTCTGGATGTTAGGTGCCTAATGCCTAAACCCCAAACCCCAAACCCAAACCCCAAACCCCAAACCCTAAACCCTAAACCCTAAGCCCTAAACCCTAAACCCTAAACCCCTAACTCGACATCCCAAAGCGAGCCCGGCTTGAGGTGGATCCTGACCCCGGTGACGTTGGTCCTGGGCATGCTGTGGGCCGCCTGAGATATGTGTGTGTGTGTGTGGTTTAGGGTTTAGGGTTTAGGGTTAGGGTTTAGGGTTTAGGGTTTAGGGTTTAGGGTTTAGGGTTTAGGGTTTAGGGTTTAGGGTTTAGGGTTTAGGGTTTAGGGTTTAGGGTCCCCCTTCTCACTCACCCCAAAGTGAGAAGGGAAGCCAAGCGTCCCTGTCCAAAGACATGACTTCTCAGCTCCGATACTTTTGATGAGGGCTTAGGGTTGAGGTTTAGGGCTTGGGGTTTAGGGCTTAGGGTTTGCGGATTAGGGTTCAGGGTGTTCGGGCCTCTTTTTTGTAGGGCCCGGGGCTGTAGAGGCTCACATGCTTTCTTGGATCTTCGGATCTTCCAAAGGTTACAGACTTCAGTTTGATTAGCTCTTAGGGTTTAGGGTTTAGGGTTTAGGGTTTAGGGTCTTCATGGATTTTCTTGCCACGAGGCATGCTGGCCCCCCCCCCCCCAATCCCGAAACCCTTAGCCCGAACACTTCACCCTCAACCCTTACTACTCGAATACCCTAAGCCCTATCATAATTACAGACTTTATTGTTTTTTTGTTTTGATTCCTTTGTTTGTTCATTTTGTCATTTCTTTATTTCTTTATTTCTGTATTTATCTATTTCTTTGTTTTTTTCTTTTAATTACTTGTTTATTTCTTTGAATCTTTGTTTCTTTCCTTCTGTCCTCCTTTCCTTCTTTCCTTCTTTCCTTCTTTCCTTCTTTCCTTCTTTCCTTCTTGCCTTCTTTCCTTCTTTCCTTCTTTCCTTCTTTCCTTCTCTCCTTCTGTCTTTCTCTCTACACATATATATATATACACAATGTATGTATCTATTCTGGGTATCTTCATCTAAGAGGTCCTTCACAAGAGCCCCGCCCGAGGCTCACCTCTGAAATGGTCCACCTGGTCGGCGTGACCAGCGAGACCATCGCCCTTCGCCTCGGAAGAGCTCTAAAACAGTATATGGTTCCCCTTTTTTGGGTAAACCCTAAACCCTAAACCCTAAACCCTAAACCCTAAACCCTAAACCCTAAACCCTAAACCCTAAACCCTAAACCCTAAACCCTAAACCCTAAACCCTAAACCCTACACGCTGGCGCGCGGCAGGCCGCCCAAACTGGATGTCGTGGCTCGCCTTGTTGTGCTATAGGGGTCGTAAGAATTGATAAAAAAAACATTCCCTTATTATGGTCCCTTTATAAATATACTATAACAACCCAAAACCCCATATGTATATATATATACATATATATATATACTATAGTAGCCCCCCAAAACCCTGTTCTAATTATTAAGGCCCCTATTATTGGTCGGAGAGTTGCGTCCACGACACGGTTGTCCACGCAAGCGCGGCGGGCACATTGAAGCAGGGTATATATTACTGTTTTTGGTGAGTGTATATAAGGTTCCTTTGTAATATTGGTGAGTGTATATACTTGGTGGCCTTTTGGGGATACAAGAAATATAAACCCTACTTCACATGGGCCGACGCATCTTGAGGAAGACGAGCTCAGCCCTGTTCGAGATGCAAGAGAAGAAAGGTCCTATAAACCCTAAACCCTAAACCCTAAACCCTAAACCCTAAACCCTAAAGCCTAAACCCTAAACCCTAAACCCTAAACCCTAAACCCTAAACCCTAAACCCTAAACCCTAAACCCTAAACCCTAAACCAGCAACATTCCTTGTGACAATGGTGTACAGGACTCCTGGGGGTTTTAAAGGAACACAGCGGAGCCTTGTAAGGATGCCCCTCGCACCAGAATTTGGGTTTAGGGTCTGAGGTTATTAGAGGGTTTAGGGAGTTTGGGGGAATTAAGGTAATTTCGGGAGTTGAGGGAGTGTAGGGAATTTTGAGTTTGGGGTTTGGGGTGTATAGGCTTTAGGGTTTGGAGGGTTTAGGGAGGCTTCTGCCCTAAAGTCCCTATATCGGAGGCAATTACTTTACGGCCCAAGTATTCCTTATTTAGTACATGGACACTTGGGGCTAAACCCTAAAGCCCTGTTTTGACTGGTCTGGTTGAGGGTTTGGGGTTTGGGGTTTAGGCTTTAGGCTTTAGGCTTTAAGCTTTAGGGTTTGGGTAGAATTCACGGGACTACAGGAGGGACCGTTTTTATGAGGGACCTTAGGGAGCGATGCCGCGGCTTCTCAGGAATGGGTGCGAAATTGGGGTTTAGGGTTTAGGGTTTAGGGTGTAGGGTGTAGGGTTTAGGGTTTAGGGTTTAGGGAGCTCAGCTGAGCAACTCAGGGGAGTGTGGTGTGGCGGGTGAAAGTAGGGGAGTAGATCTAAACTCCGAGCTTTGTCTGAGGAGTTGCGAACAGGAGAAGAGATCCTCTCCTACCAAGACTATGCGGAAGCCTCTTTGGGCAGGACGGCTTGAGTTTTAGGGTCCAGGGTTTAGGGTTTAGGGTTAGTACCCTAAGCCCTAAACCCTGAACAGTACCCAATCCCCCCACCCTAGGGCCCTAAATTGTGTTTCTTGAACATCTTGGATGCAGGTTCTCAAACTAGTGGGCCCTTTCCCCCTTTCCTAGTACCCAGAGTCAGGAGCTCCTTATGTTTAGGGTTTTCGAATTCAGAATTAGGTTCAGGGTGTCAGGGTTTTAGGGTTTAGGTTTAGGGCTTGATTTAAAGGAGCCGAACGTCAGTCCCTTTCAGCAGAAAGTCCACGCGTCTCTCGGTGATCCTTGACCACGTGGCGTCATCTGCACCGGAGCTGCTGTATTTGCCCGCGGTGCGCGCTGAGGCTTCCAAGGCCGAAGCGGGAGTCATTCGTTGGCGGCCTGTCGAATTGGCACAAGCAGAATTATATCCCAGCAACGATGGCAGCCTGACTCAGTTCGCCATCAATCTCCCACGGTGCGAACAACGATACAGGCAGCCGCCTCCCACTTGCGTCATACTTGCACGAGGAGTCTGCTTGTGAGCTGGCAGTCTCTTCCTGTGTTGGGCAACGCTGCACTCGCCGTGGCAAGGAAATCACCGTCAACGATGAGTTTGTGCGGGCGGAGGGGACATTGCAGTACGGGGTCACTTCTGCAGTGGCCCTAATTTCCTAAACCCTCAAGCTTAACCCCTAAATCCCAAAACCCTAAAAAACCAAAAGGCGTCCCTTACGAAGTACCCCCCCCCCCCCCCCCCCCTCCCCCCCCCCTCCCCCCCCCCTCCCCCCCCCCTTCCCCCCCCCCTCCCCCCCCCCCCCCCCCCCTCCCCCCCGCTCCCCCCCCCCCCCCCCCCCCCCTCCCCCCCCCCCTCCCCCCCCCCCTCCCCCCCCCCCCCCCTCCCCCCCCCCCTCCCCCCCCCCTCCCCCCCCCCCCCCTCCCCCCCCCCTCCCCCCCCCCCCCCTCCCCCCCCCCTCCCCCTCCCCCCCCCTCCCCCCCCCCTCCCCCCAAGGCTGCTGCACCCGACATGGAAACCCCTGCTTTGAAGGACGAATCCTTACGTCATGAGGTCCAGAAGGTTTGGGGTTTAGGGGTTTTAGGGTTTAGTAGTTTAGGGGTTTAGGGGCTAAGGGGCTTAAGGGCTTAGGGCATATTTCTCAACAAGGAGTCTAGGTGAGTCTTGGGCTCTGTTTGAAACTATGAACAGAGATGCCCAGGTTAGTGCAACGACTAAGATCTTGAACTTAGGACCCTGATCCCCAGACCCTGAACCCAACAGAACCCTAAACCCCAAACCCTACACCCTAAACCCTAGGGTTTAGGGTGAAGGGGGGCGGGGGGGGGGGGGGGGTCGGGGAGGGGCCGGGTGGGGGGGGGGGGGGGGCGGGGGGGGGGCCGGCGGGGGGCAGGGGGGGGGCAGGGGGGGGCCGGGGGGGCGAGTCACACATGTTCGCCCTAAACCCCAAACCCTGGACCCAAACCCTGTTTGGCTTTGAGGGTTTAGGGCTAGGGTTCAAGAGTGGCCTACACACAGGACTGGCTGGTGGCTCTCAGCAGTTTCCAGCACGCTCTCACTGCCGCTGAGTTTGCACCCACCCTAAACCCTAGAACCCCCCTAGGGTTCAGGCTTCGGGGTTCAGGGTTTAGGGTTTAGGCTTTAGGGTTTAGGGTTTAGGGTTTAGGGTTTAGGGTTTAGGGTTTAGGGTTTAGGGTTTAGGGTTTAGGGTTTAGGGTCTACCTTGACACCCTGGAACGCTAAACCCACACAGCACGCAAACAAGCCATTCGTTCGTGGCTTTCAGGATCCCCAAACTCAGCTGCATGTGCTCACGTTGGCCTAAGCCCTAAGCCCTATTCCCGTCAGCAATCGAACCGGAGCATAGGAATCCGCCCTGAGCCTCAACGATCTCAAAAGCGAAGGCCCAAGGTCCTGCAGACCCTAACACCCTACACAGTTTACTGTTTATCGTTTACTGGTTTAATGGTTTATGGTTTATATGGTTAGGGGTTTAGGGTTTGAAACCCGAAACCCTGAACCCTAAATTTGTGACGAAACCGACCTCTTGAGACCAAGTGAGGTTTGGGATGATCTTCGGCGGGCTCATTCTCGAGTCGGCGCTCTCGGCTTGATTTCGATTGGGGAATTTAGGCTGCTTCAGGGCACCCTAAACCTTAAATCCCAAACCCTAAACCCTGAACCCTGAACCCTAAATCCTAAACCCTAAACCCTAAACCCTAAACTAAACCTCCTGCTAGCTATGTTGTTTGCTCTTCCCGGGGTTTGGGAAGAGCCTTAAGGTTTTCTGGGCTCTGGTTCAGGTTTGGGGCGTTGCGTTTAAAGTTCTACTGGGAGCTAGGCTGTCGAAGGGAAACCTAAGGCCTAAACCCTCAACCCTAAGCCCTAAGCCCTAAACCCTAAACCCTAAACCTGCACATGTTTTTTCTTTGTTTCTTGCTCTTGTCTCCGGTAACTTCGAGGTTTGACGGGAGCCCTAAAGCCGTCCGGGTTATGGGGCGGTTGCTCTGAGGGCACGCTGCTTGTGGTTTAGGGTTTCGGGTTTGGGGCTTAGGCTTCTGGAGTCCGAAGGTTGGACGTAGGGTCTAGGGCTTAGGGTTGTGGGGTGTAGGGTGCAAGTGTCGGGGTTTAGGGCTTAGGGCTTATAGGGTTTGGGTACATGAAGCCTAGTTTACATGACCGTGGATTTCGTCGACCGGATTGCTGAACCCCAAACCCGAATCCCCTAAACCCAAAACCCTAGGCCCTAGACCTGAAACCCCAAACCCTAAGCCCCAAACCCTAGACCCCAAACCCCAAGAGAAAAGGAGTCATTGCATTAAAAAAACCCAAACCCTAAGCCCTACACCCCAAACCCCAAGCCCCAAACCCGAACCAGGGCAACATGCAGATCACCTCGCCCATCCATTGGTCTTGGCCCCTGGGCGGAGATCCGATGGACGCCGGCCGCCCCTCGAACTCAGAGATAACAGGGAGGCCTTGGAGTGAGTAGAGTTTAGGGTTTATAGGGTTTAGGGTTTAGGGTTTAGGGTTCCGGGTTCAGGGTTCAGGGTTCAGGGTTTAGGGTTTAGGGTTTAGGGTTTGGAAATCAGGGTTTTGGGTTGTTTGGCGGTTTAGGCTTCTGTGGTTTGGTGGTTTAGGGGTTGGGTTACAGGTTCAGGGGTTTGAGGCGTAGGTGTTTCGGGTTTATTCCCGAGGAGGTGCCCACTCTCGTACTTGGCGGGTCTGTGTTGGGGTGTTTAGGCTTCAGTGTGGCACTTGCTGTAGGGCAACAAGGGCACAAGCGGCAACCGTAAACCCTAAGCCCTCTACACCCTAAACCTAAACTCTAAACCCTAAACCCTAAACCCTAAACCTTAAACCCTAAACCCTAAACCCGATCCCGCGCCCTGAATCCTCGAACCCGTAGACTGCCCCTCACAATGCCCAGGAAAGTGGTGGGCTGTCCTGCTGACGTCCACCACGCTGTTCTACAGCTACGCTTCCTGGCAGCAGGGGGTAGGGTTTTGGGTTGAACAGACTGGTGTCCTGAGTTCCCTTCCAAAAGTAGCCAACCCTCCCAAAAGCGTGTACTACCCACTGAAAGACCCTAAGCCCTAAGCCCTAAACCCTAAACCCTAAACCCTAAACCCTAAACCCTAAACCCTAAACCCTAAACCCTAAACCCTAAACCCTAAACCCTAAACCCTAAACCCTAAACCCTAAACCCTAAACCCTAAACCCTAAACCCTAAACCCTAAAGCCCAAGCCCTAAAACGTGGGGGAGTTCCATCCCGGCCTTAAGCCCAAGTCTGCAACTCCGGTTGAATGCTACATGGTTTAGGATTTTGGGTTTAGGGTTTTGTGTTTAGGGTTTTGTGTTTAGGGTTTAGGGTTTAGGGTTTGTTTTTTTTTCGAATATCTGGTCCCTTTTGGAGTCCCGTGTTGTAAGGCGGCCCCTCTTGCTCAGGGTTCCCAAAAAGGGACCCATAGTGTACAGAACATGCGTCTGTTGTAGTAACATCCACAAGTCTTTGGTTGAGAGAACCCTAAACCCTAAACCCTAAACCCTAAACCCTAAACCCTAAACCCTAAACCCTAAACCCTAAACCCTAAACCCTAAACCCTAAACCCTGAACCCTGAACCCTAAACCCTAACTCCCAAAGCCTAAGCCCTAAACCCTAAGCCCTAAGCCCTAAGCCCTAAGTCCTAAGCCCCAGCCCTAAGCCAAGCCGCCCTAAACCCTAAACCCTAAACCCTAGACCCTAAACCCTAACTCCCAAAGCCTAAGCCCTAAACCCTAAACCCTAAACCCTAACTCCCAAAGCCTAAGCCCTAAACCCTAAGCCCTAAGCCAAGCCGCCCTAAGGCCCCTTGGTTGGCCCCCCAATAGTTTGATCCCCACGAATTTTGCAGCCCAGAGCCTTCATGGTTTAGGGTTTAGGGTTTAGGGTTTAGGGTTTAGGGTGGAACCTTTGGGGTTCAGGGTCTAGGTTGTAGGGTTTAGGGTTTGGGGGTTAAGTGCTTAGGGTTTTGGGGTCGAGGGTCCAACCCTGCAACTACCTCGAGAGGTTCATTCAGAAACCCCAACCGCAATGTCCTGCACCCTTCTAAACTCCAGTCCCAAATCCCGAGCATCTGCGAAACCCCAACCTAAACCCTAGTTGGAAGCCCTTGTGACTTAATGAGCCGGGTTAGCAAGGTGGGTTACGGGATCAGAGTAGGGTTTCTAGGGGATGGGAAGTAGACTTCCTAAGTAGAACAAAACAACCCCTAACTTCACCAGTCCTTATAGGAAGTGTAATTGGGCGGTACTATACAAGGACTGTCAGTATAAGGGGGAACGTCCCAGCTTAAAACCCGAACCCCTCACTTTGCAAGCGCTACAAATTCTGCCCGAAACCCTAAACCCTAAACCCTAAACCCTAAACCCTAAACCCTAAGCCCTAAACAAGAAGGTGGACATCGGGCACCTGCTGCACAACTCGGCCTGGATAGGCTGCACGGGGATTTCGGGTTGAGGGTGTTTAGGATCTAGGGTTAGGGTACTTGTTAGGTTTAATAGCTGTACTTATAACCCAACTATAGCCATATTAGGGCGCTTATAAGGGGCGTATAAGTGTGTTGTAGGTACAGTTATAACTGGGTTAAGAAGTTCCATGAACCTCCAAGTAGGGTTTATGGCTTAGTTCACAACGAGCATGCCTCGAACCTCGCAAGCCCGCGTGCCCATGTGGTCGGTTCTAGCTACCGTATTTTCTGGGCAGGCATCACAGCAGCGATTCCAAAAAGGAGCTCTGGGACTTCGGGGTTTCGGGCGCCGGGCAGTTTAGGGGTTAGAGTTTAAGGAGGCTTGAGGGCAGAACGCCAGGGTGTTGGCGAAACAACTCTACTTCAGGCTGCCCTACGATCCCCCCAAAATACGATTATCCTTATTCTACAGATCCCCCCCAGAAGTGGTTCCTTTTTTGTGGGAAACCACCGAGCTGGCCGAAAACGAAGCTCCCCTTTTGGGCTTAGGGTTCAGGGTTCCGGGTTTAGTGATGTATTGGGCTCCTCTCATAAGGCATCCTACTGTACAGGGTTTAGGGTTTAGGGTTTAGGGTTTAATGCCTGCAAGGGCACCCTACAAGGCCCTGAGCCCTACCTAAGCCCCCCTAAGCCCTAAGCCCTAAGCCCTAAACCCTGATCCGCAAGTCTGGCAGGCGTGGGCCTGACCATCTTTTGCTTAGCTGCCTGGGTTGCACTCAACAGCTGCTTAAGTCTGTTTTTTTTGTTTTTGCTTTGTTGCTGCTTTATAACTATCATTATTATTATTGTTATGATGATCAGCATTATTATTACGTTGTTTTTCTTCTTTCTCATTTATTGTTAGTATTATGAAGTCATTTTTTTGCTTTTGTTTTGGTTCTACATTTGTATTTTAATTATGTCTTATTTTGGGGGGGAGGGAGGGGCTGGGGATGAGATGGTTTAGGGTGTAGTGGGTTCCGGCTGGACCGTAGAAGGGTTTGTACAGTAAGGCCCGAGTTTTCCTTTTTTGGTACGAGTTTTCCTTTTTTGGTACATGGACCCTTTAGGGCTCTTAGTAGGGTTCTTAAGGCAGGGGGGTTCATGGGGGGTAGGTATCTAAAAAAACCTTCGAGAAGCTTAGGGAGCGGAGTAGACCCTTGGGTTGCATAGCTTACATACCCCCCTTGAACCCCCTCCCTTAAGGACCCTTAGGGTTCTTACTGCTCCCCGCGGGCCAACAAGTTGGCTTGAGGCCGTGGACAGTCCCTAAACCCTAAACCCTAAACCCTAAACCCTAAACCGTAGAAGGTGTGCAATCGATCTTCCAGGAACCTCCATGGTAACGAGACCGGACTATGTCTTGCTCAGGCACCCCCATGGTGGGGATGATGCAGCACACGCTGCATGTTCTCAAAAGTGCCGAAGACACGGAGCATGCCATCCAGACGTATCAGGCATCGTACACCATGAACGTAGGCATCAGCGTGAGGGTCCTCAACTGTGACCTGCCCACCGTGGACACTGAGGGGTCGCTGTCGGTCTTGTGTTTTTGCTTTTTTGGTAAGATGAGGGCTTGGAGGGTTGAAAGGCGATAGTTCAGGCCTCGTGGGGCTACTTCATTGCTGGTTGAGTATTTTGTGATGCCCGTGTACGATATGATAGGGAGAGGAAGGGTGTTGTGTTGCTTCACGGTTTACAGGGATTGCGAGGTTTTAGGCTTTAGGGGTCTTATTTAGAAGTTTGGGAGTGTTGTTTGAAGGTTTTGTGCTAAACCCTAGACCCTTAAACCCTTAAACTAGCCTGAAACCCCTTAAACTCTAAAAAAAGCCTCAATGCCACGGGGAGCTCGAAAGGGGGAGGAGTTTGAGTTGATAAGCTGAGACATGTCCCAAGCCCTAACCCTAAACCCTAAACCCCCACAACCCCAGAACCCTAAACTTTAGGGCAACTTTAGGGGTTGAAAATTAAATAACCCCTAAACCCGAAACCCCTGCAACCCTATCAGGATGGTCTATTAGGCCTTCAAATTCCCCATAATGAAACCTATTTTTAGGGCCTTTTAAGGGATTAGGGTTGGGTTCGGCCGGTCCACACTAACAGTCAAATAACGCCGTGGCCTTATAACACACAGGCCAAAAATAGCACCAGGAATCCCAGTCAATTTTAGCATTTACCGGGTGCTTCTTTTTGTGGGTCTGCTGGTGGTGACTGTTAGTCACATAGCAGCAGAAATAGCACCAGAAATAGCACCAGAAATAGCACAAACAATAGCACAAAAAATAGCACCAGAAATAGCGCCAGGAATAGCACAAAAAATAGCACCACAAATAGCACAAACAATAGCACCAGAAATAGCACCAGGAATCCCAGTCAATTTTAGCAGCTTAGCATTTACCGGGTGCTGTTTTTTGTGGGTCTGCTGATGGTGGTTGTTAGTCACATAGCACCAGCAACAGCACCAGAAATAGCACCAGAAATAGCACAAACAATAGCACAAAAAATAGCACCAGAAATAGCACAAACAATAGCACAAAAAATAGCACCAGAAATAGCACCAGGAATAGCACCAAAAAATGCACCAGAAATAGCACCAGGAATAGCACCAGGAATAGCAGGAATCTCAGTCAATTTTTTGGCATTTACCGGGTGCTTTTATTTGTGGGTCTGCTGGTGGTGACTGTTAGTGTGGACCGGCCGAACCCAAGATTAGGGTTTAGGGTTTAGGGTTTAGGGTTTAGGGTTTAGGGTTTAGGGTTTAGGGTTTAGGGTTTAGGGTGAAATGGCCCATCCTGGTAAAACCTAAAATCTGGACGAGGTCTGCGTCTATGCTGGGACCTTCGCGCAGTTCAAGAACCTGGAGGATTTCAATCCCGACCCTCGTCGCTTTGTGATGCGCGGATCCCATACCCCCGAGAGCCCTAAACCGGTAAAATCTATACAGTAAACCCTATAAGTGCATCCTTAAGGCTAAATATGAATCCTAAACCCTCAGCAATTAAACCCTAAACCCTAAACCCATGACTTAAGATAAATTCCTTGAGTAAGGCGCGCGGCACCAACAAAGAAACACCCAAACCGAAAAGTATGAGGTAACGGGGTCAGGAGAATGTAGGCATGCGTGGCAGGCGCCGCGAAATCGTATCTTTTCAGAAACCCCGGCGATCGCATCCAGGAAACCTCAGGAAACAAAATCAGGTCACGACTTCGTGACCATTTCTAGGGCCACATACGTGGACGGCAAGTGCCATCTGACGAGCGGTTTAGGGTGTAGGGTTTAGGGTTTAGGGTTTAGGGTTTAGGGTTTAGGGTTTAGGGTTTAGGGTTTAGGGTTTAGGGGTGCTGCTTCATGGAACTGGTAACATGGATGTAGTCATCGTGCCGGCATGGATGCTCGGCCCTTCGCAGTACTCGCGAGCCTAGGCGAGTAAGGTTTAGGGTTTAGGGTTTGGGGTTTGGGGTTTAGGGTTTAGGGTTTAGGGTTTGGGGTTTAGGTTTTTTTTTCGGCGCCGCGTACCTTGATGAAGGGGTCATAGGCTCTTTGGGTATATGAACTCAGCAACTAAGGTCCACTAGAGGGTTTAGGGTGTATAGGGCTTAGCAAGAACCAGCATTTTGAGACCTCTGACCAGCTTCAAGGATTGCGCCACAACCTTCAACCAGCCCTATCGGAGTGTGGGCGTCAACGCACCGCGGCGATCATTAGGGCCAGGGGTCTCCGCTTAGAGGAGGTTGCTTTGTGGATTTACAGGGCCCTTTGCAAACCCTAAACCTATAACTACCCAAACCCGATATGCCCTAAATGCATGACCCCTAATAACCGATACGCCCCCCACTACGCCTGCCCCCCCCCCCTCCCCAACAACGAAAGAAAAAACACACACCAACCACACAACCGTGTAAAGCCACATCTTGAAGTCCAGCTCTTTGTCCCTGACCTCTGACCTCTGGGATCCTTGCCACAATCGCCATTGGCAAAAGGGCATCCTCATCAAGATGGTTGCTGGGCTACCAAGTGAAGAGTCATTGCTACGCAAGGCTAGGTGGGTAGTAGAGGCCACAACCTGCTGTTGGATCGAGTCGGAGCTACTATGTGCTCCCCCCGAAAAAAAGCAAGGATAATTATCCCTCATTACCCTTATAGTGAAAACCTATCTATATATATATGTATATGTACTTATGTATTGATTCATTATTTAGGTTTTAACGATGGTTTTTCATGGGCTGTAGCGGCTTGGCCTCTAGACAAAGACGATCTCTAAAGCCTACTCCCTGAGCCCTAAACCCCAAAGATTAAGTAGTAGCCCTAAACCCGAAACCCGAAACCCGAAACCCTAAACCCTAAACCCTAAACCCTAAACCCTAAACCCTTGCACGGGCATCTAAGGTGGGTGGCGAAGAGCCCCCCTTCGAATCCTTCCTGAGCCTCTTCTCCGTCTTCTCCTACGTCATGCCGCCTTGGCCCAGAATGGCAGGAGGCTTATGTGGGTACCTGTGCGTAGGGTTTCGGGTTTAGGGTTTAGGGTTTAGGGTTCAGGGTTTAGGGTTCAGGGTTCAGGGTTCAGGGTTTAGGGTTTTGGGTTTAGGGGTGCTTGCAAGTAGGGTTATCAGGCCACTAATCCCTACGCCTTTTGACCTTATATCCTAAACCCTCAGCAAACCGCCAAACCGAAAGCCCTGAAGGGTTGTAGCCTTAAATACTCTTTAATTCCCTTACATACCGTTAAATACCCTGCGATACCTGAACTACCCTGAAAATACCCTGAAATACTAAGACCTTTGAAGCCCCCCACCCCCCAAAGCCTTCATTTTCCCTTTGAAAGCACTGGTAATCCTTAGCCTTTAAAGCCTCCCCCAAAGCCCTGCGAAAGACCCAACACCCCCAAAAAACAGCCCAAAAAAGCACCTCAAAAGCCTAAACCCTGAACCCTAAACCCTAACCCCTAAAGCCTAGACCCCTAGAACCTAATTAAACCCCAAACCCCAAGCCCCATGCCCCACGCCCCAAGCCCCAAGCCCCAACCCCAAAACCCAAACCCCAAACCCCAAACCCCAAACCCCAAACCCCAAACCCTAAACCCTACACCCTAAACCCTAAACCCTAAGCCCTACACCCTAAACCCTAAACCCTAAACCTAAGCCCTACAGTACCCTAAACAGCCCTTAATATCCTTTACAAGGTACGCCTTCGCCATCGTCGTCACTCTGCCGACTCTTAGGAGCACCATGACAGACCGGAGCAGCTTGGCGTTTAGGGTTCAGGGTTTGGGGTTTAGGGTTTTTGGGGTTTAGAGTTTAGGGTTAAGGTTTTCGGTTTTTGGGGTTTTGGGTTTAGGGTTGTTGGGGTTTAGGGTTTTGGGGGTGGGGTTTAGGGTTTGGGGGTTTAGGGTTTGGGGGTTTGGGGGTTTGGGGGTTTGGGGGTTTAGGGGCTGGGGGTTTGGGGTTTGGTGGTTTAGGGGTTTAGGGGTTTGGCGGTTTAGGTTAGTAGTTAGGGTTTCGGGTTTAGGGTTTAGAGTTTTGCTTTGGGGTTTGGGGGTCTGAGGTTGGGGTTTAGGGTTTAGAGTTTTAGGGTCTCGAGTTTTGGGTCTAGGGTTGGTGGTTTTAGGATTTCGAGGTTTAGGTTCAGGGGCTTCGGGTTCGGGTTTTGGGATCTAGGGGTTTGGTGTTTAGGGTGCAGGGTTTCAGCTTCAGTGTTTTGGGCTAGGGTTTAGCGATTAGGCGTTTGGAGCCCTAGGGGCGTTTAGGGTTGCAGAACGTTGTACCCCTTACTTGTGGACTTCTTGTTCATTCTAGCAGGTTTCATTCGGATTAACGACCTTTAAACCGGAAACCCAGGCTGTCCTTTGAAGACTTTCACAGCAATCCTAAACTCTAAACCCTAAACCTACATCCTGAACCCTGACCTCAAACCCTAAACCCCAAACCCTAAACCCTAAACCCCTAAACCCCTGAACCCTAAACCCTAAACCCTAAACCCTAAGCCCTAAGCCCTAAGCCCTAGACCCTAGACCCTGAACCCTAAACCCTAACCCTAAACCCTAAACCCTAAACGCAAGGCAAGCTGACGCCCATGTGCATCTTCGCCTTCGCAGTCGTCTCCATGGAGCCATAGCTCATCGGGGGGGGGTGAGCTTCTGGATCCCTAAACCCTAAACCCTAAACCCTAAACCCTACACCCTAATCGCCAAACCCTATGTCCTAAACCCTAAACCCTATACACCCTAAACCCTATAAACCCTAAACCCTACCCCTCTTCAGGTCTGCCTTCGGCATGTTTTGCACTTTTCCTTCTTTGGGTGCAGGAGGATCACGTTGCGGAGCATTTCTCAGATGGTTTCATGGGCGGATCCCTGTTCTCTCCCCTCCACATACTCCCCCCCCCCCCACCGGCCAAGGTTCCCCGCCCCCCCAACCCCTAAAGTCCTAAACCCCAAAAGCCCTAAACCCCTAAACCCCTGAACCCTTAAACCCCTAAACCCCTAAAAACCCCCCCTAAACCCCTAAACCCCTAAACCCCTAAACCCCTAAACCCCTAAACCCCTAAACCCCTAAACCCCTAAACCCCTAAACCCCTAAACCCTAAATCCTAAACCCTAAACCAACCCCAGCCCCTGAACCCTGATCACCTTAAACCCCAGAAACCCTAAGCTCCGAAACTCCGAAAAATGCTCCAGGAGTTCCTGGTCATCATGCTCGCCTACTACTGGGTCTTCGGCATCTCGGCCTGTCCGGGTCTAGGAATTTGGTGTTTAGAGTTTAGGGGTTTGGGGTTTTAAGGCTGTAGGGGTTTAGGAGTTTAGGGTTTAGGGCTAGGATTTCGAAAGGAAGGGATCAGGAGTTGGGGGTTCAATTTTTGGGGTTAGGGGGGTTCGGGAGGTTGTTAATAGAGGCTTAGTAGGGCTTAGGGTTCAGAAGAGTTCAAGAATTGGGGGGGGGGGGTTACTTTAGGTCAAACCTCAGCCCCTGAACCATAAGCACCCCAACCTTTAGACTGGATTCTTGCACATACCCTGACCCCCGAACCCTCCCAAGCCACCCTAAACCTCCTTGTAAACCCTACGGAACCCAACCCCCCCCCCCCCCCCCCCCCCCCCCCCCCCCCCCAAAAAAAAAAAAAAAAAAAAAACAGATATAATCCACATATATATATATATATGTGTATTTAACAAGAGTAATTCTAAAATATCAATAAAAAGAATAATAAATCAATGCTTCAAACCCTAAACCCCTAAACCCCCCTAAGCCCCAAACACTAGTCCAACCCCTACGCCCTTCCTGTGAGCCTTGAGGAAACCTCGGGCCTGAGAACATCATCGACGGCATGCGCGGCCAGACTTATTAGGGTTTAGGGTTTAGGGTTTACAGGGTTCAAGGTTGAGGGTTTTTAGGGGTCAGGATTCAAGGTTTAGGGCTGTATTCAGGATTCTAGGACCCAGAGTGGTTACTTAATCACTTTTTTTAGGGTTTAGGTTCCCTTATAAGCCCCTTTAAACCAAGAAAAGGTTACTGCTGCCAATAAGGGACCTTAGCGGCTATTTGGCGGGGCTGTTTGGGGGCTGCTTAGGTATATAGGGACTTCTCAAGGCGTAGAAATAGGGGTTCTAGGATGCCCAGTAGTACCCTTGTTCCCTTTTGGGGGGGGGGGTTTAGGTTCCCTTATTAAACCCCTTTAAGCCAAAAAAAGGGCACCCTTTTTAAGTCTAGGTTGCTGGGCAGCCTGGGGTTTTATAATCCTAGGTAGGATAAGGGGGGACCCTTAAAAGGGAACCCCTTCTTAACCCTCTTCTGGCTCTCTTAAACAGGGACCTTATTCAGAGGGTCTATATCCCCAAGGGGTCCCCCTAATCCTATCCCCTATATAAAGGAATAAGATTCAGGGCCCCTTCTAAAGGGCTCCCTCCTTTTGAACCCTTAGTTGCAGCGATGGTCTCGTGATCCCAAACTTCCACCAGAATGTGGAAGTCTTCAACCCGAACCGCGCGATGCTGTAGGGTTTAGGGTTTAGGGTTTAGGGTTTAGGGTTTAGGGTGTAGGGTTAACTTGCCTGACGGTTACAAGAAGGCCACGAAGAAGGCCACCTCAACCGGCAGAGAACTTACCTGTATTTTCGTGGGCACCCCCCCCCCCGCCCTCACAAAGCCCTAAGCCCTAAGCCTAGACACAAGTCACCCTTTAAAGCTTTAAACGGAAAACTGAAGGGGCCCCTTGGAACCCCGAAAAGCCCTAAAAGGCCTAAGCCTCTCAACGAACCCCCCCCCCCCTCCTCCTCTCCCCCTGTTTCTTTAAACGCTCCGCCCTCAGCCCTAAACCCTAAAGCCTAAACCCTCAACCCTAAACCTAAACCCTAAACCCCAACCCCCCCCCCCCCCCCCCCATGTTCTCTGAGGAGAGGGCCGCAGCCAACTTCAGCCAGGATGGTGGGCCACGGCTCCTCGAGCCGAATGTGTTTAGGGCTCAGTACATGAGCTGCTGAACCCTAAACCCTAAACCCTAAACCCTAAACCCTAAACCCTAAACCCTAAACCGGGTCCAGGGTTAAGGTAAACCCTTTTAACCCTGACCTGTAAAGCCGTGAGAGGTGGATCCATGGGGCGTGGGCCAGCCGAGCTGGCTGGGTCAGGCCAGGTGGCTGTGGTTTCGGGTTTAGGGTTTAGGGTTTAGGTTTGGGGTTTAGGGCTTAGGGCTTAGGGCTTAGGGCTTAGGGCTTAGGGCTTAGGGCTTAGGGCTTAGGGCTTAGGGCTTAGGGCTTAGGGCTTAGGGCTTAGGGCTTAGGGCTTAGGGCTTAGGGCTTAGGGCTTAGGGTTCGGGAATGGGTTTATGTTTATACGCTTTGGGCTCTGGGATAGGGTTTAGGGATTTTAGGCTTTGGGCTTTGGGCTTTCGTAAGGGTTTGAAAGCTGGTAGGGGTTCTTGGGCTTCGGGCGTGGGTTTTAGGGAGTTCGGTTTGGGGTTAGCATTTTGGGCTTGGTATCTCACGGCTCTTGCATGCAAAGCTGAAGCCTGAACAAGAGCCGTGAGATACCAAGCCCAAACCCTCAAGCCTCAACCCTATAAACTCCTAAACCCTGTGTGACCTGACATGTTGGCAAGACCTCCGGTATAAAAGCCCAAAACCAAACCCCAAGACTTTAGGATTTAGGGGTTCCGCCTTTTGCTATTCAGGGGTTTCGGGTGTGGGTCTGTGCGAGGTGCAGGCGTGCAACCAGAGCCGTGCTAAAATCTAAGTGCCATAAACGCTAAACAACGCCTTTACAAAAACACCACCTATCGCCTGAGTGCCCATAAAGGCAATACAAACCGCCCGCAAGTCCTCCCTTGGAGTTCTGTGGACTTCTGGTTGGTTTCGGGTTTCGGAGGCCTAGGTCGGAAAGGGCATTCGCTTTGTTTGAGTCCAAAGTTGGGATGCTTGTCCTACGAATTGCCTAAGAACTCCAAAGAAAACGAAGTATCCTTCCTTATAAAGGGCAATCCATAATAGGGGTTGTTATCTTGTTGCCGTGTTCTTAAGCAAATAGCCGTTGTCGCGCACAAAGCCTTTACCCCCGTCCCTGAATCTGTGCTACAGGTTGCTAGGCCCCTAAACCCCGAAAACCCCGGGAGCCCCAAGCCTCAACCCCTAACCCCCCCCCCCCCCCCAAAAAAAAAAAAAAAAGCAACCCGAAACCCGAAACCCTAAACCCTAAACCCTAAACCTTACACCCTACACCCTACACCCTACACCCTAACAGGCACCTACGCCCTAAGCCAATGACCAAGCAAGTTGCCAGGCTCTGGGCTGGGGCATCACTTTGCGTCTTTGCTTGCAGCCTTTGGGGGTTTGGAGGGAGTAGGGTTTAGGGTTTTGGGTTTTGGGTTTAGGGTTTAGGGTTTAGAGGGATGGGAAGTCGAAGTTGGAGGGAGCACCGGAAGGGTCCAGGATTTGGGGGTGAGGGTTTAGGGGTTTGTAGGGTTTTGGGTTTCTGGTTTGAGGTAGCGTAGCGTTTATGGGCTTATAGTTGAACAGCTTCAGGGTGAGGGAAAAGCCCTCCGCCAGGCATGAGCGGAGGACGTCCTATGATGTGGCTAGAAGTTAGAAGGGGTAGTGCCAAAACGAGAGCCCGCTTTTGGAAAAGAAAAGCGCCCCAAAATGCAAGCCCTCAACCCTAAACCCAGAAGTGGTTTCAAAAAGAAACCTAGTTTGGGAAGCCCCGCCCCAAACCCTAAACCCTAAACCCTAGGCCCTACAGGTTTTAGTATTTAAGGGTTAGGGCCTTATCCCATCCGGAGCCCTCCAGCGGCTTGGCGCTTCGCTCCAGTGGTGCCCTTATGTTCTTGACTTTGGTTTAGGATTTCGGGTTTAGGGTTTAGAGTTCAGGGTGGGGGTTTAGGGTTTAGAGTTGAGGGCTTTTAGGAGTTTAGGGTTTTAGGGTGTAGGGTTTAGGGTTTAGGGCTCGGGGGCCCCAATGCATGTATACGTCCTTGCCACGCAAGCCCTCGGATGGAGTAATTGCATCAACCTAGCCCAAATTCCCACAACCCTGCAAACCTGAAATACAAAGCCCTCAAACTTCAAACCCTGAAGCCCAAGAACCCTGCACCCTAAAGCCCGAAAAACCCTAAACCGTAAAGCCCCAACAGCCCTAAAACCCAAAAGCCCTAAGCCTCTACACCCTAAAGCCCGAAAGGCCTACGGCCCCAAAAGCCTAGCCTCAATCCTTTGGTGCCGTTCCTCAATGGCCAGATTCGCCTGCTTATCAGTTGCCACCCTAAACCCTAAACCCTAAACCCTGAACCCTAAACCCTAAACCCTCAACCCTCAACCCTATCAACCCTAAACCCTAAACCTCAAGCCCGCGCTCGTAAGTAGGGAAGGCCCAGACCCCAAGCCTCAATCCCAGGCATCTTCTCTGCTCTGATGCCATCTATGTCCCTGCCGCCTGGCCACTCCTAACCACCACGCCCGATCCTCTGCTCCCCCTAGAGAAGCCCCTGAGGACATGAAAAGCGCACTTGCTTTTAAAGATCGTGTAAGGTGAGTATGGCAACGGCTGCAAGGTTTAGGGTTTAGGGTTTAGGGTTTCGGTTTAGGGTTTAGGCTTTAGGCTTTAGGCTTTTGGCTTTAGGCTTTAGGCTTTAGGCTTCAGGGTTTAGGGTTTAGGGTTTAGGGTTTAGGGGGTTGAAGAGGGGTAGCTTGGGGGCGACCCGGGTGCCCCTTGTCGGAGGCCCTCAAGGGTACCTCAACGGGGCTTGTTTTGGCGGGCACTTTGGGGTTTAGGGTTTAGGGTTTGGGGTTTAGGTAGGGTTTGGCGTGGCTTTCTTCAGTTTCAGTGGGGGGGCATGATTAGATTTGTGTAGACCCCTTTGGGGAAGAAGTAGGGTTTAGTACCTTGTAGGGGTTAGGGCGTAGGGTTTCGGGTTCAGGGCCAACCTGTCTAGCAATGCATCAGACCCTACTTCACTAGCTGGCAAAATGGCCACAGTGGCTGTTCAGGGTAGTACGTACCTTACATCCCTAAACCCTAAACCCTAAACCCTAAACCCTAAACCCTAAACCCTAAACCCTAAACCCTAAACCCTAAACCCTAAACCCTAAACCCAGCTATACCGCAGTGTTCTCTTAACTGTATCTTCAGGGCCTTTTGCAGGAGATCGCTGTTCTCATCCCAAGCCAGGAGTTCCAACACCCCTTCATCCCAAGGGGTTCTTACTGCTCAATGGGGGAAATAGGTGCTCTTTTCGGTGCTCTTTTCAGGGTTTAGGGTCTATATAATAATAGATATAAACATCAATCATAAAAAGAAGACATAGAGAGAGAGAGGGAGAGAGAGAGAAGGATTAGAGTCTAGGTTCAGGGCCACTAAGGGAACCTACACTACATCCCCCTCCCTTGCAGCTTACATCCTTCTGGTCTAGGCAGCTCCCAGGCACCGGTGGCGGTACTCACGTTCATGCACAGCCAAAAATCGCTGAAGGAAACACGGGAACCCTAAACCCTAAACCCTAAACCCTAAACCCTAAACCCTAAACCCTAAACCCTAAACCCTAAACCCTAAAGCGCCCTCAGCCCAAAACCGCCGTAAGCCCTCAGCCCTAAACCACCCTAAACCCTTCAGTCTCAGGCCCCTTGCATCCACCCACCCGCCCCCCACCCCGCCCTTGCGGGGGTCTCTACACCCTGAACCTTAAACCCTAAACCCTAAACCCTAAACCCTAAACCCTAAACCCTAAACGAACGCTTGACGGCTCCCGGAGGTTACTGTGGTTTCTGTCGAAGCGCTTCTGCCGAAGCACGTCGCGGCCAGGAGGCGTTGTCTCTCACATCCTGCTCTTAGGGGCCTTAATCAGAATAGTTTTTTTTATTTTTTTTGGGGGGGGGAAGGGGTTATGAAAAAAAGTTACAAGGAACCTAAAAGAATGTGATTGCTGCTGTTAGGGGGGGGGGGTTGGGGGCTTCGTAGAGCTCGGGATTGAGGTTTAGGGATTTCAAGTTTAGGGTTTAAGGATTAGGGGTTAGGGTTTACTGACCCGACTTCCTCAAAACCCTAAACAAAACAGACTCTAAGCCCCAAACCCTAAAGCGTGTTTCAGGGCTGTATCTTACGAGCCTCGCACCCCACTATCTCCAGCACCCTTTGTCGAATTTCCTCTGCCGACTCTGAGCGCATGCCATGGCATTGGGCGTGCGTGAGATGAAACATATCCCAAGCTCAAGCCCTGAACCGTAAACCCGAGATCCCAAACCTCGAGCCCTGAACCCTAGACCCTAAACCCCAAACCCGAAACCCCAAACCCCAAACCCCAAGCCCTAAGCCCTAAGCCCTAAGCCCTAAGCCCTAAGCCCTAAGCCCTAAGCCCTAAGCCCTAAGCCCTAAGCCCTAAACCCTATCTATCAACCTTATAAGGTATAGGCATTCTCCTACAGGCATTTGACGAACATGTGGGTTGCGTTCAAAATTCGCGTGTCTGCTCAGTTACTTTAATTTACATTAATTGGTTTGGTCGGTCTATTTTCATGTCTTTGCTATGAGGCGGCACCGAGGGGGATCCCCTAAAACCCCAGTGTGGCGGTAGGAAAACGCTAGGTTTGCGCTAGGTAAAATCAACAAACTTTTTTTCTCAATTTCGCATGTCACCACAAAGCGAACCCAACAGAGATTGATTGAGAAGGCCCAGCCAGGCACACCACCCGAAATATGCGTGCAAATCTGGGGTGGTGTAATAACCCTGCGCCTCTTCATTATAAATTGACGGCGCCCCTGTTGCCAGGATATAGGTTCTTCTAGGAAAACGATGACAAGAAATAAACGATATTCTTGTTATACTTGGTGCATTTGCTGCTCCTGGCTTGTTTTCGTCGTTCATCACGTCGTAGCATCAGATCTTGGAAAATCCGGCACAGTGTTTTGCGCTAGCGCCGCGCTAGCACGGCGCTAGCAAAACGTCAACGCAACCTCCCCCGGCAGACCATGGCCCATTCCTCCTCTAGCAGACCATAAAGGAACACCATAGAACCGAGAGTGCTATGCTTGCTGGAGCTCGAGCCCCGCAAGTGGCGACAGCGGACTCGCGCCAGACTCCAGCAGTAGCAGTATGTAGCAGTAACACTAACAGTTCTTGTGACGACTCGTCCGACAGCAGCGCCTGAAAAATGGTCCGCGCTAGCACCCTTTCTAGGAAATCATGCTTGGACCCTTCAAATGTCGCGTTTGCTACTTTATCTCAATCAGCTTCTTTTTCCTTCAGGACATAAGGCGGCACCGAGGGTGTTCCGATTTAACGTCAATTTCGGGAACAAGCATTTTGACAACAACCCATGTGGCAGGGCTTTCGGCGTGTGGGTATGGGGTTCAGGCTTGAGGTTTAGGTGAGGGTGTGTAAGTGTCTAACGTCGTGGCTACTTCAAGCAGGGGCCAAACTTTTGCGAATCGTTCGTGAAAGCCTACGGGGACTGCATGCATGGAGAGTACGGGGGGGCCTCCCCAAAATTTCCCAAAGCCCTCAGAATGAAATACCATATATCATACCCATACAACCTTTCAAGTGTTTCCATTTCACGTGAACCCTAAACCCTGAACCCTAAACCCTCAACCCTAAACCCTAAACCCTAAACCCTAAACCCTAAACCCTAAACCGCAAGAACCAGTAAGTAAGTCAGATGGACTTTCCGAAAATGGGGACAAGCTTTTGTAAGGGGGTTGCTAGAATAAGGATGAGAGTTCTTTGGGTATGCAAAAAGCGGTACGTGCCCTTCTTGGGGGAAATCCCCATGTTAAATGATTACCTGCGCATCCCCCAAAAAATCGGGATGCCTTCTTTTCTGTCGAATCCCCAAACTCTTTGCCTCTGCTGCGGGCCCATCATCCCTCAAGAGGGCTTCTTGATGCTTCAAAATTTGGGGCTGTATCTTCGTAGCTGAGTGAAAACACTTTACACTTTTTGGGATACTACGATCCCCTATAAACTGAAAGTGTACACTTTTTGGCAGCTTATGAACTCAGCAACTCAGTATAGTGTTGTGCAGTGTTGGAGTTTAAGGCTACGCCTTGCGTCCCATTTAGGGTTTAGGGTTTAGGGTTTGGGGTTTAGGGTTTAGGGTTTAGGGTAGTATGCCAAACACCCGAACCCCGAACCCTCTCTCAGCCCCAAAGGCATGATATGGGGGTTTTGCGACATTTTGGGGCCTTTAATAAAGACCCCCAAATAGTAGGACCCCCTCATACTACCTGGGTTGTGCTTGGGGATATTTTTTCAATTTCACTTCTTTCCTTATTTTTCAAAAACCATTCTCAAAGGGTTGTAAAGCACAACTCGGAATATGGACCCCAATAAGGAACCCCTACCATCGTAAACCTTAAACCTTAAACCCTAAACCCTAAACTCCCATATAGGCGAGTCCAGTTTGCCGTGCGCCTCTTCGTCTCGCTCCTCCGTCTCTTCGTGGCCGCGCGGCGCGCGAGGTTGTGTAAGAGCCGCTTGAGGTTCCAGCAGGGGTTTGTGGTCCGGCCTTATAGAAGGGACTAGAGTGAGCACAAGGTATATGAGGGTTCATGTGGACTCGGGCTCAGGGTCTAGGATTTCGGAATCAGGCTCTAAAACCTCGAACCCTATTCCTATCTTGGGGGAGTTCAGTGCTTGGTCACCGATTAAGGGCCGTTGGGGTTGAAGTGCTCTGAGGCCTCGACGACGAACGCACTTTCATACCCTCTGACGCTCTATACCCTCTATCCTAAACCTTTGTTGCCTATACGACCCTGAACCCTAAGCCCCAACCCTAGACCCCGACCCCTGAACCCCAATTATGAAGCCCTTAATTACGGAAGACAGGTGAAGGTTGACTTGAAGGTTACTTAGTCCCTGAACCTTAAGCCATAAATTCCTAAGCCCTGCATAAACCCTGACAGTGCCCGACTCCCAGCCGGTCTACGTTTGCATGCGGTTTGGGGTTTAGGGTTTTTGGAGAGTGCATGTGGCACAGCGCACCCTCAGGCCTAAGGCCAAAGCCCTAAACCTCAAACCTAAACTCCCTAAACCGTATGTTATGCAAAATCTCGGTCGCCTGAACAGGAAGCAGGTGCAAACCGATTCAGGGGGCCTTGTCTTGCCGGGACAGCCTTAGCAACGGTGGGAAGGCTTAACGGTTTAAAGGTAAGGGATTATATCGGGCTCAGGGCGTTGGGGGTTTAACAGTTTGGGGTACAGGCTTCAGAGTTTCGGGTTTTCGGGGTTTTGGGGAAGCTCCTTCTTTTGTGCAAGGCCCCTACCTTCCGGCAGAAAAAGTGGCATTTACTCGACGGGCATATGGGATCCTCAGGAGCGGTCTTTCCCGCCCCTCTTGGGAGCTGAGGCGGCCTTAGTCAAGGACTTTGTGAAGATGACCAATCTCACCTCCGCCGCCTGCGTGACCATGCGCCTCGGGCCCTCAGCCCTAAACCCTAAACCAGAGACGGGGGTGGGGGGTGGGGGGGTGGCGGGGGGGGTGGTGGGGGGGGTGGGGGGGGGGGGGGGGGGGTGGGGGCCCCTAGACCTGACACCATCATCTCTTGTCCACACGTTCCGAAGGCTTTAGGATCCCTTCACCCTGAACCCTCTCAGTAGCTGAGGGAGTACACTTTGCACTTTTTGGGATACTCTAATCCCCTATAGAACTGAAAGTGTTCACTGGATGGCAGCTTATGAACTCAGCAACGAAGCCCTAGAGATAGTTCAGGAGCATGCTGAGTTTGTTGACCTAGCACCTAACCTAGGAAGCCGACTGCGGCCCTTTACCTTCTTGCGTTTGGCTTGGTGCCCTTTCTGAATGAAACCAAGTTCGGAAAACAAAGGAACGCTTACGGACCGTATGCTGTCCCAGGCTACCCAAAGCCCTAGTTTTTTGAACCCTGAACCCAGGAACAATCTCATCCTGCCCATCTTCGCCTTTCACATCGCTGGCCCGTCAGTGCTCTGGCGCCACACAACGTCCAGCGTTTAGGGATCAGGTTTTTCAGTTCCGGTTCCTTCGTCTCTTGGGGATCTAGAGCCTGCACCTAAACTTCACTCAAACCTTAACCCTACACCCTGGAGCCCTAAACC